TATATATATATACATACATAGCAATTAAGCTTATATAAATTAAAAATTATAAAATATTTAAAAAATAGATATTTTACATGCATTTTAATGAAATTATTGCTTGCAGTTCACCACGTTTTTAACTTCAAAATGCACTTCGTATCTCATCGTCAAGGTTCTCTCTGTTATATCTTTTTTTACTACGTTTGTGATAAAATATATCTCCTTTGCTTTTAATATGGAAGCTGTAAGTTAAAGACACTCGATTGAATTAACATCTCTGTAATAACATTTATATTCCACAACTTGTGAAAAATATAAATGACGATATAAAATGTTACTGGGCTGACAGGTAAAGAATTTACTGGCCCAACTTCAGCATATATACAACGATATAAAAGATGAATATGAAAACATTATTATAGAAAAATACAGCTACAATGCCAAATGGTACACAATTATACTTACAAGTAAGACAAATTTTTAATTTTACATTACTACACGTTTTACTTCACACATAATACAAAAGGCAATGTGAATATTTTTATACGCAGACATTTGTATAACAATTTCCTTTCTAACACTTTGTAGCACTTGCCGCTTGTAGCATATTTGCTTTTATTGTCGCTCAATTTTGGTCAAGTATCTTCAACATAATTTTATCGAGAAACGTATCTCAATCTTGTGATTTACTTATTACAACGGAATATTTTATTGATCAAAAAAGACACTTTTATTTAATTGTGTTGCATACGTACACAGCATTTTGCATAGGATGTACCGCGATGATAGCGATAGGGACAATGCTTATAACATATCTCCAACATACCTGCGGAATGTTTAGGATCTCAAGGTATAAAAAATAGTAAAGGTTAAAAAATTCATATTTTAAACAAAATTGTATAATAATTTTGAATAAATCTAAAGATATAATTCACTTTTAAAAGGCAAAAAAAAATAAAGTTTGAATTAAAAATAAATTTTTTTTAATTATCGTAGCATATTTCTAACATACCTGTGGAATGTTTAGGATCTCAAGGTATAAAACAAATCTAGAAAAAGCTACAAAAATTCTAATTATAAACAAAATTATATAATTATTTTGGATAAATCTAAAGATAATTTTTAAAAGGCAAAAGATAAACAAGTAAACAAACATATTTTTTATAGTTATCGTATTGAACGCGTAATGAGAACTAGTGTGCTACAAAATATTACCTCAGAGAACGAAATTTTGATATTTAAAGGAATAATATGCGCCATCGATATTCATCGGCAAGCTATGAAGTTAGTATTACATAATATATCTACATATCAAGAGACACGGTAGTCTCGCGCCAAGTGTACGCAGCGAGACAGATCGTGTATCTTTACGCGAACCGTCGAGTTGAGAGACCCTTAGATTATCGGATCTTATAAACGACTGAACCGATCAAATTTTAACTAGGCTCAATTAATAGCTTAATTGGATTTGAAATATAATAAATATATCATAAAATAATATTTGTTTATGTTTGAAGATTGTCTGAATTATTGATATCCAAGTTTGAGATAATGCTGTTCTGCTTAATAGCAGTAGGAGTAATTTCTTTGAGTCTCAATCTCTTCCGAGTAAGTCTTAGTCATCTAACAAATCTCTACATTTGAAAGATATGTTACATTATAATTTACTATTCGGGTCATAAAAAGAATGTGTTGTTTCTAATACTTCTAATTTTGCGTATAAATTTTTGTTTATAAATATTAATCTTGTAATTCTTAACAATTTTGCATATTTCACCATTTCTATAACTCAGCATATTTTCTAAAACAACTTGCTGCAATCCAAACGCAAATAAATCAGTATGTTCGCGAATCTCTTATATTATATTTTTCAGATTAGTGCATTTGATGATAATATCAACGAATTTTTACTTCCCGTTTTGTTCGTAATGGCCAGCATTGTATACATGTTTGTTGCTAATTATGTAGGACAAGACATTATGGATCATACTAGTCACGTATTCGTTACTGCGTAAAAAACTTTTTTATCAGATGTTATTATATGTATATATATTGTATTTGCATGCACTTTATCTGCCTTTAGTAAACAAGCACTTTATCTATAAAACGTACGAAGTGTACTGAATATTATTTATGTATTTCTTTTTCTCTTTTAAAATATCGTTTTTTTTTTAATTTGACCAATTTTATTTTCACAGGTACAGCGTTCAATGGTATCTAGCTCCCTTACACATACAAAGAATTATACTTTTTCTGTTGCAAAGAGGCGCCAAAAATTTTTCTTTGAGTGTCGGTGGATTGTTTATTGGATCGTTAGAGTGTTTTGCGACGGTAAGAAAATCGTATATCATGTGTTGCTATATGTATATCTATTTGATTTGTAACATAATAAACATACTTAATAATATTATTCGTTACAGCTGGTAAAGGCTTCGGTATCTTACTTTACCGTTATGTATTCTATACAAACATAAACAAAAAATAAAACTTAATTGTATTAGAATGTAAACAATATGCAATAATTAATTAAAAATTCTTGATATATTTTTATTTCATATTTTGTATAAAATTCAGTTGTATATAATTTTGAGTAAACAGATTAATTGATAATTTTGTTTATAAATGAAACATTTCAAATGCAGAGATATAAAATATCACACATGAAATTATTCAATCAAAGACGTTGATGCATATCACATATTCATAATGGATATTGGAGCAAATCATATATTACTATACTTTAAAATAAAATTGTGTTAAAAATTTAATTAACATTGCATTGCGTTTAAACATGATTATCTCTGTTAGAAATATATTTGCCGACACATATTACTTTTAGATAAATATAATTATTATTAACATAAATATTTTTAAAACTTTAAATTTAAGTTTTTTGTTGGTACGACGGTGGAGTTATGAAGAACATAAAATACGTATTCTTATGCTTTGATA